CCGATGTGGACGTTCGCACCCCACATCTGAGCTGCTCTCCCATTCAGGTCTCCAATACTCAGTATGAAGGCAGATGCCAGGAAGCATTGGTGACATTCATGGAGTTTCACCAGTTAGCACCCTGAACCACCATGACTGAGGACAATCAGTGGCGGGACCGAGGTGGGAAAAAGGCAGGAAGGAAGCTCAACGGTGTGTCTCCTCTGTCACCAGCTAGCAGGTGGACTCTGCAGGTGGCCCACTCTGCCATGTCTGCAAAACCAGCACAACTCCCCCACCTTGGCCCTGGTCACCTCAGAGCTGCTGAGAAGCCAACACTGCAAGGCCTCTGCACATGCTCACACCAACTGGGTGTGGTGGCACATCTGTAATCCCAGTTACACAGCAGGCTAAGGGGCCGGGGTGTTCTCAARTTCAAGGCCARACTGGGCAGCACAGTGAGACTCTATCTCCAAAGAAAAGTACTTGGCAAACACAAGGATACCTATCAATGACAGGCCTCAGCTAGAGCCCTCCTCCCAGCTCGCCCACAACATGTCGGCAGCCAGAGGTGTATTTACAGCAGCCGCGGCACCACCCTCTAAACCTGCAGRCGCGTGGTTGGCTTTGGCACGACAGTCCTGTTTACACTGTCTCCCCTTCAGATGTCTCAGTGTCTAGGACAGAAACAGAATGCCCAGCTTCTCTCCTGGAGGGATCAGAAAGGAGGTGAGGGAAGGGGGTGAGGAAAGGAAGGATGGAAGGATGTGGGCAGGAGAAAAGGCAAGAAAGGAGGGGAACAAGGAGAGGAAGGAGGAGGAGAAGAGGGAGGGAGACAGGAGGGCAAGGATCTGCCAAATCACGCCACGGCTCCTTCCAGTTCAGCCAGTTCAAGTGCACAGAGCAGGCTTGCCCCCCAGCCTGGTACCTGGAGCCAKCCTTCTGAAGACCTAAGTCATCTAAAACTCAACCCCCACACACCAGACGATTGCAGCAGAAAACCAGATCTGGAAGGGTTAAAGTAACTGCGGGAGAACTCCAGGGGTCAGGCGTAGTGGAAGGGCTCTCCACGGCAGACAGGTAAACTGAGACTCCACTGCCCCAGGACACCCTCCAGGAAGAGCAGAGTCCTGTACGCCAGCCCCAGCCCCRTGAATCCACTGCCCAGCAGAATTGAGGAAGAGGGAAGCTGCAGGCACCCAGTCCATGGGAACCCAGCCACCAAGACAAGGGGCAAGGTGTTTTGGAGCATCTGTGCTCTTGACCAGGGACATCACAAACCACCCGCTTCTCCAGTGCTGCAGGCCCGCCAGGGCCTCTAGAWAGTGAGCTGAGTAAGGAAGCCTGGGGCTGAGGAGCCTGACGCCAAACCAAGGGCCAGCAGAGCTGCAGCCCCAGGCGGCCCTCGAGCTGAGCCCACAGGCCTGAATCGGAACTCAAGCTCCATGGAAACCATTCCCCAAGGGGCGATGAAGTTTCTAGCACTTGGGGACACTTCAACTGTCCTGGYGCAAGCACGGAGTGCTCATACTGTGGGAAATGGCTGCGCAGGGCCCAGGGAGCTCCCCAGATGGACATCTCTGGGAGACAACACAGCAGCTCAAGGACGACAGAGGCCTCTCCCTTCTCCACTGCAGATCCCAGAGGCTCTCTTGGAAGTACTGGGGGACAGGGAGGCGGCCAGTGCAGTACTTTTCCACCAGCTCCCCAGTAATGCACAATGGCGCTTTCCAGGCCTCACGACCTGCCATTCTTCAACAGTTAGGTTCAGCTCTCCATATTTTTTTTTCTCTAAAATATACTTCTGATGCCTCCTTTTAATAATTTCCCAGGAGAACAAGAAGAGTGAGTAAAGAAATATTTTTATCAACAGAGACCAATGTGGATTTTTAAGGAGAGTCCCCATTTTGTTGGGATACTGACTTCTGGAAATACAAGAAGAGGATCTCGGGGTGTAAGCCTCCAAGCCCCTATACAGAATCACAAAGACCAAACTGAGAAGCCACCCGCAGCATARGAACTAGCCCTTGGGCTCACAGGCATCCTTGGGGAGTGTGGCTGTCGACCTCTGCTGGTCAGTGACTGCCTCTCCCAGGCCAGCAGCCCCCCAACAAAGGCCAGCAGGACAACCCGCTGCTCCTGGTGAGCCTGAAACTAACTCAAAACCTGTAGCCAGAAAACTGAACACAGCACACAAATTTATCAGTAATCCATGTTATAAACCAAACCAGACTAGCAAGAAACACACCCCAAATGCTTTCTTCTTTCTTGTTTTCCAAATWTCTTTTAATCAACATATACTTTATAATGATAAAAAACAATGACGGCTGRGGATGTAGCTCAGTGTAGAGCCATTGTCTGGCATGTGCAAGGCCCTGAGTCATTCCCAGCACCACAAAGAAAAGAAATCACATTCTTTAAAATATTATATGGACTTAAACAAAAAGATGTCTATCACTCCCCGATAACGCAGGAATTTTAACCTTAAGCTGAGCTACTATGGGTCTGCCAGTGGCCAGTAGCCTGCATACAGGCTCATTAACAAAGGACAGCCAGAAGTTCTACAACACAAAACCTCTAAGGTRATGGCCTGGAGCTCATTTTAAGAAACCAGAAGGAGCCTCAAAAGAGCAGAGCAGTGTCATCAGGAAGGACCAAGGCTCTGTAGCAGGTAGGACCCCAAGTGAGCTCCAGGAAACCTGTTTCCACCTGGAACCTGGAAACCACAAAGAACCAACCTCAGCAGGAGACAGGAAGCCAGAGGAACAGGAATTAAATCACCTGCTGTAGAGGAGCCCAGTCAGTAAGACACAGCCAAAGAGAACCCAGGTCAAGACAGGGGTCCTGGGTCTGGARTGTCCCCACCACTCAGGTTGTGGTGACCTACTCCTGGCACACCGTGCCTGTCCCATCCATCCTGCCCTACAGAGTCCGTGCTGCTACCAGACACGTTGTGCATGTTATTTACACATCTCTCAAAAGCTCGGAACTGTCTGAATGCATGTTGCAGCCCAACCCTGAGGACATCAAGACCCCCGCCCCCCCCCCCAGCCCGGCCAGGTGTCCATGCAGGCTTGCTGAAGACTGCAAAATGTCTAGACCAGGTGTAAGTTAAGGAGTCAGGTGGGTTCTGCCTTCCTACTATCCTTCTCTCATTTCATAAAGGAAAGGATACCTGCCACCAGGAATCATATCTTGGCGCACCACCCCAGGAAATAGRAGTCTCTGGGGCACCTCACAAAGACAGACTGATATATGGCGCCATGCTGCAAAAGGGAACAAATCCTTGTACTAGTCAGGCAGGTCCAAGTCTTCCTCCAAAAACTGAAGAGCCTAATCAAGTTGTCATGTAATGGTTGATATTTAAAATATATTTTGTGGACTGGGGGTGTAGCTTAGTGGTGGAGTGTGTGCCCAGTATGCACGAGGCCCCAGTTCAATCTCCAGCACCAAAATATAAATACACACACACACATGCACAGACATAAAATATGCTCCTAAAAATCATTCAATGAGGCCAGGATGCAGTGGCACACACCTGTAATGCCAGCATCTCAGGAGGTTGAGGTAGGAGAATAGTGAGTTCAAAGCCAGCCTCAGCAACTTAGCAAGGCCCAAAGCAACTTGGTGATACTCTGTCTCTAAATAAAATATAAAAACGGGCTGTGGATATGGCTCATTGGTTAAGTACCCCTGGGTTCAATCCCTGATACCAAAAAAAAAAAGGGCTGGGATTGTGGCTCAGCGGTAGAGCGCTTGCCTAGCGCGGGCGGGACCTGGGTTCAATCCTCAGCACCACATAAAAAAAATATGTGCATTGTGTTGTGTTCATCTACACCTAAAAAAATAAATATTAAAAAAAAATCACTTAATGGTCTCAGTTCAATGAATTAAGCAACACTGCTAGAACAAACTTCTATTCCCATTTAATTATTTATATCCAGAAACGAAAAACGGGGGGGAAAAAAAGAGAAACAACATTAAACCCTGTCTCACTCAAACATGAAATTCACCAAGATACATGAACCAAGGGCAAAACTCTGAAAAGTCCCGCCACGTGATTATGTGATGCGTGCCTAACCAGTCTATACTTTACGTTGACTGACTTGACAAAATTTGTGATGTTATGCTATTTTGATCAATGCATACTACTAATTATAAAGAGAGCCCAATGTAGAAGGAAAATTTCAATACTCAGAACTTAGCAGTAACAAAAAATTTTAGATTTTTCAAAATTTAAAGGTATAAGCATATTTTTGTGGTAGACAAGATTTTGGGATGAAGAATAGAAATGCATTAGGAGATTGTTCCTGCCTGGTCTTGGGTGGTATTTAAAACCCCAGTTATTTAGAATCTGTGGCATGCAATTCAAACAGTGACGTTAATAGCTGATTTTCAAACTCTCTGCTGGTATTAGTGCCAGGTAAGAACATTTTTAGTGTATGTTTTTAAACAGAGCTTCCCAGGTCCCGCCACCTATTGTCAAGGTGAGGAGCAATCGCCCTTTCTGCAGGGGAAGCCCCGTTCTCTGAGCGCACATCCCCAGCCCAGCTGCAGGTCCCCAGTTACAATCCTAGCCCCATATTCCATTTTTCTGACCTCACATGAATGTAAAGCTCTTAAAATTAGGAGAATTACCATTTTTTAGTGACAAGCTCACAATGTTCCAATGGTKAAAATTTGCTTCCCTTAAAAATTTGGATTATTTTTATTTTCTACAATTCTGGACTAACTCGTATTCCTACACAGGCTATGAACGAGTYATCTACCCAACCCCAGGCACCTGACTACCCACAGGGRRAAGGACTCAAGGATCGCTCCCTGGGCCCTCTGTGGCCAATCTAGTCTACCACAGTTGCTGTAAACAGGGGCCTCACACAGGGGCCAGCAGAGAAGGCGGCCCAAGCAAGGCAGGAACAGTGCTCCAACCTAACACTGTACCTGCTCTCAGCGGGCGCTGGGTGTGTCCATATGTAGCCCGTGTGTCTGTCCTCTGCTCCACAGAGGTTGGATGGCCTTACCTTGGGGCTGGCTTCTTCGTTGTCTGCTGTGGTTTCAAGTGCCTGAGGTCTCTCTTCTGCAGACGCCTTCTTTACTTTTTTGCTCTTTTTCGCTGTCACTTCGGGACCTTTTCTTTTCTGTTTTGCCATCCTGCTATGGAGAAAGCACACTGCTAAATCCATAGGGAAAARGGGGCTTCCGCCATATAATATTTTTAAACAAAGGGGGGAGCACTTTCCTACTAAGAGACTACAAAGGTATTTCATGAAATATAGTATACAAAAGTTAAAAAAAAAAAAAAGTCAAACTCCTAGTTCATCACCAATTTAACATTTTGGCACATTTCCTTTCTATTTTCTGGGTGTTTTTACTTAGCATAGCTGCATCATGCACACATTACATATTCTATTTTTTTAATGGCAATCTTTTATTTATTTGTTTGTTTGTTTGTTTGTTTGTTATGTGGTGCTGAGAATGAAACCCAGTGCCTCACACATGCTAGGCAAGCACTCTACCACTGAGCTACAGTCCAAGCCCCATCATATTCCATATTTCTGACCTCACATGAATATAAAGCTCTTAAAATTATGAGAAATACCATTTTTAGTAACAAGATTACAATTTTCCAATGGTGAAAATTTGCTTCCCTTAAAAATTTGGATTATTTTTATTTTCTACAATTCTGGACTAACTCATATTCCTTCACAGGCCATGGATGAGTCACCCACCCTACCCCAGGCACCTGACTACCCACAGGGGGAAGGACTCAAGGATCACCAGGAGCCTGGGACATCTCCTCCGACCAGGCCAGTCATAGGGACTTACGCAAGAAATATGGGATGTGGGAGGAGAGATGTGCCTTCATGGTCTATTTCCTCAGGCACAGCAGCTAGTTACTCCTGTACAAGAACAGGAGTCCATGAACTGTAAAACCAATTCCCTCCGTGGGATTATGTGATGAGAGAACCAAGAGCAATGGCTGAGGTTGCCGGAGCCTGGAAGCTTCGGAGGGGAAGGAGGAAGGAACCCTGGACCTTGCAGGAAGACGATGGCTGCTACTGGGACCTGAAGTGGGAACCAGACTACCTCCAGGAGGGAGAAGTAGAAACTAGCAGCCCAAAACACCTACCCACATGGAACTCCCATTCTTACGGGGGAGCCAAATACATACTATGTTAAAAGCTGAGAACCAGCCGGGCACTAGTGCACGCTTGTAATCCCAGAGGCTTGAGAGGCTGAGACAGGAGGATCACGAGTTCAAAGCCAGCCTCAGCAAAAGCAAGGTGCTAAGCAACTCAGTGAGAYCCTGTCTCTAAATAAAAAATATGAAATACGGCTGGGGATGTGGCTCAGTGGTCAAGTGACTCTGGGTTCAATCTCCAATACCCGCCCTCCCCCGAAAAAAAATTGAGAACTGGTATGCAAAAGGGGTGGGTGTCATGGGAAGCTGACCATGTAAACAGGATGATGGGCCTGGAAGTACAGCTCTGTGTAGAGCACTGGCCTTGCTGTGCAAGGCCCTGGGCTCAATCCCCAGATCCACAAAAGAAAGAGGATGATCATAATGAAAAGGGCCAGAAGTAGCGAGCGTCCCCAGAGACCAAGACCAGTTTGGGGGCCAAATACCACTCTACGTGAGAGTAAGCCAGGGGAGTATAAGGTGGAGCTGGGACACAAGGGGAGCCAGCACCAAGGATCTCCGCTCCCATTTGGGTCTGTTACTGATGACAGCACACTGAAAGAATATTACTATTCTGGAGTCAGAAAATTCCAGGCTCCATATTCCTTAATTAAGCCTTATCTTTAAAAAGTATTTGAAGCCAGAGGCTACAAATTTCAATTAACTGTGTAATAAGATATCTTGAAAGAATGAGAGACTGTTGACATAGGGACACTGAAAACACAAAGGATGGCGCCAGCCCATTACCTTGTTAGAGAAAGAAGTTCAGCAAATATTTATACACCAGTTACTATAAAAGTTAAATCTATATTCATTCCGTAAGTTATCATTAAAAACTTTAATCACTAAGTCTATTTGCTAAAAAGAAGAAAAAGATTTTTCCATATTATAGAGTGATCTCTTTAACAGTTCTAAGAGATAACTCATAACTCTGAGACACTGAATGTTTCTTCTAGAAAATATTTTTCATTGTTGGTCAACTAATTTTAAACAAGGGTGGCCAGGCAATTCAAAGAACAAATAGTGCTGTGACAACTGGACAGCCACACAGGAAACAATGAATCTGAAGCCCTACCTCACACCACGCACAAAAATAAACTCAAAATGGACCAAAAACATAAATGTAAGAACTAAAACAAAATTCTTGGAAGAAAACATAGAAATACATCTTTAGAACTTAGATGAGGCAATAGTCTCTCTGTAACATAAGTAGCAAAAGAAAAAAAGTACATGAATTGGACTACAACAAAATTTACAACTTTTGTGCTGCAAAAATGATGCCAGCAAGAAAGTAACAAAGACAACTTGCAGTCGGAGAGAGAGCATTTGTAAATCACACATCTCACAAGACACCTGAATCCAGAATATATGAAGAACTCTTACAACTCAATAATAAAAGGCAAATAAGCTGGGCACAGTGGCTCACACCTGTAATCCCAGCGGCTCAGGAGGCTGAGGCAGGAGGATTGTAAATTCAAAGCCAGCCTCAACAAAAGCGAGGCACTAAGCAACTCAATAAGACCCTGCCCTAAATAAAMACACAAAATAGGGCTGCGTATGTGGCTCAGTGGCCAAGTGCCCCTGAGTTCAATCCCTGAYAGCCCCCTCCAAAGGTTTTTTTTAGTACACATTGAAGACCTGAAAAGATGCTTCACTTCATTAGTCACTTAGGAAATGCAAATAAGATTGTGCTCAGTGGCAGAGCACCTGCCTAGCATGTGTGAGGCACTGGGTTCCATCCTCAGCACCACATATAAATAAATAAATAGATAGATAGATAGATAGATAGATAGATAGATAGATAGATAGATAAAGGTACATCGAAACTAAAAAAATATTTAAAAAAAAAAAGAGATACCACTTCACATTCACTAGGATGCCTATAGTTAAAAAAAAAAAAAAAGATTGCAATGGCTCAATGTAGAGTGGTTCCCTAGCAGGTGCAAGGTGCTGGGTTCCATCCCAGCACCATAAAATAATGAGTGAGAAAAAGAAAAGACATAATAGTAAACATTGGTAAGAATGTAGAAAAACTGAAGCTCTCATTCACTGCTTGTGTAAGTGGCAGAGTCACTTTGGAAAACAGTCTGGCAGTTCCTCAAAAAGTTAAAAACATGCAATTACCATATGACTCAGCAATTCGTCATAGGTGCATATCCAAAAGAAATAAACAACTCCACGTTAAAGTTTGTATTCTAAAGTTTGTATTCTAACGTTCCCAGCAATATTACTCATAACAGCCAAAGGTGGGAACAACCTAAATGCTCATCAATGGATGAGTAGATAAACTATAGGTATTCAGGGTGGAATATTATTCAGCCATAAAAAAGTGAATACTGATACACCTACAAAATGTGTCACCTTGAAACCTGATGCTAAGCGAAAGGAGCCAGATACGAAATACCACGTATTGCACGATTCTACGCGCATGAAGGACTCAGGATAAGCAAATCCGAGACAGAAAAGGCTAGTGGCTACTCCGGCTATGAGAGAAGTGGCAGTGACTGCTAGTGGGGACAGGGTGTCTTCTGGGAGGAGGAAAATGTTCTAAAGTTAGATTTTGGCGATGGTTGCACAACCCCATGAATACACTAAAAAAACAAAAACAAACTATATTCTCTCTCAAGTTACCATAAACTTAAAAATACAATGTTCAAGGGGCTAGCACTGTGGCTCAGCAGTAGAATGCTCACCTAGCACATGCRAGGCACTGGGTTCGATCCTCAGCTCCACATAAAAATAAATAAATAAAATAAAATAAAGATATTATGTCCATCTACAACTAAAAAAAATTATAATGTTCAAGTACTGTTTAAAAAATAAGAAAGATATAAATGGGGGAAAATGCATGTAGAAGCCTCCTTGTGCCTTTTTTTAATTTACTTATTTATTTATTTTTAGTTTTCGGCAGACACAACATCTTTGTTTTGTATGTGGTGCTGAGGATCGAACACGGGCCACACGCATGCCAGGCAAGCGTGCTACCGCTTAAGCCACATCCCCAGCCCTCCTTGTGTCTTTTAAGTGGGCTGTTAGTGGCCACGGCTGAGCTCACAGCTACAGGACAGCAGAGTAGCCTGCCACCATGGCCCTTGATCATTGCCATTCCCAGTGACTGAATTAATTTCTGTAGAGCAATGAAAACCCAAGATTTCCTTTCTGGTGGTTGGGAGGATTCTGAGGRGTCAAGGATATTAAGGAAGCTAACCCTAACTACCACTTTATGGAATTAGCATTGAGAGGCCTCACCAAGGCCAGGCCCTGCCCCAACATGCTCTACACACACCAGCCCACTCACCCCTGTGACCCATGCAGCTGGCATGCAATGCAGAAACAGGCACATCTGCCCATCAGAGTAGAAAATCAATAGAGAATGTCTGAAATTGGCCAATAACCACATCACAAGCATATTATTTAGAAACACGGAAGTAGAAACAGTAGAAACAGCTGCAAGATTAAACTGTTCTTGCCTTTAAGGAGCATGAATGGGGGGAGACAAATGATTTTGGTCTACAAGTCGTCTAGCACCATGTCAGTCTTCAGTTACAAGCATATGTGACAGCTAATTTGAAGGTTAAAAAATATTGATTTTAGCTGGGTGTGGTGGCATATGCCTCCCAGTGACTCGGGAGGCTGAGGCAATATTGCAAGTTTCAGGCCAGCATCAGCAACTTAGCGAGCTCTAAGCAAGTTAGCAAGACCCTGTCTCAAAATAAAAAATAAAATGGGCTGGGGATGTGGCTCAGTGGTTGAGTGTCCATGGGTTTAATCCATAGTACCAAAAAAATAAAATAAAAAGGGCTGGGGCTGTAGTCCAGTGGTAGAGAATCTCTGAGTTCAACCCCCAGTACCAAATACAAACAAACAAAAATCAATTATTTTCAAAAAAGATTTTTTAAAAAATTATACTGTACAGTATTGGTCAGAGAATAGGAAAAGGACATTATCATGCCCTGCTAATAGGAGGACAAATTAGTACATCCTTTCTAAAACATAATTTTATAACATTTATCAAGTGGTTTGGCCCAGTAATTCCACTGCTAGGAATTCATCCTAATGAAATAATCATGGACAGAGATTTATATGTACATAGATGATAATGGCAACACTATCTCTAATATTAAAAAATTGAAAACACCATAATTGTCCAACAGTAGCAGGCCGGGGAAATGAATGACTCCTCCGTGCAAAGGAATATTCCAAAGAAACCATTAACAACTGTGATCTCAAGGAACATCCGTCACATGGGTAAGTGCTCATAATACAATAAACTGAAAATCAGATATAAATCTATGGAATACAATATGATTCGTTTTGTAAGAAAAATTATAGACAAATGTGCACAAAGGAAAAAAACTAAAAGAAAATATACTAAAATAGATTCAGATTATAAGAATATTTATTGTTTTCATATGCTCTTCTGTAATTTCTACAATAAAAGCAAAAGAAAAGAAATTGTTTTAAGACACAGCCCAAAAGCTTCAATTAAGCAATTGAAGGATTCCACCAGTACAAAGCAGATGGGCCAGATTAAACAAGCACAGGACGACCAGACCTGCCTGCCAAGGCACACTGCCAGTGATCAAGACAGCTCAAGCAGGCAAAGCTACAGTCCCCAGGTGGAAAAGCATCTCACAGGGCCCTGATGAGATAAATCAGTCTATAGGCAAACACCAGGCACACTTTTATTAAACCCRAAAATACCACCCACAGACCCAGATGACACGGGGGAACATCTCAGTTGGTGATGATCTGATGTGGTTGGGACAGGTTCTAGAGGAGACCTCCAAACTCACCAGGCAAAGGCCCACCCTGAGCCCACAGAAGGGCGGCCCCCACCCCTGGACTGTGGCTCGGCTCTGACCCATGCTGACCCATGCCTAGGCCATGCTCTGAACTGCCTGCTTAGATTAGTGGCCTCCTGGCCTCTGCTATTCTGCCCATGAACACTGCTCTGTTGCCTCCCTATCTGAACACTACTATACTACTGCAGTCACTACAAGCCCACCACCATCCTAATGCCAGCATCCATGACCAATTCCACCTATCTTTCCAGCTGGCACCCTGGAATCCAATAATCTTTCAACCTCACCAAGATCTGCAATCCACTGACCCTACTACATTTCAATGTCCTTCACCCATCTGTCTCGCCTCTACAATGTAATTTCCATGGTCTCTCAGTAAATCACTCCCATACACTCCCTTGTGGCTCTCTCCCTTCATGYAAAACCCCACCGCTGGGACCTACTCCGCCTGCCAGTGTACTCTAAGCCTGCAACTCCACACAGCTGGAGAGCCCACAGACTCAGGCTGACCAGTCTCAGTTTAAATTCAGAAGCTCTAAGCTCAAGGGGATGGTCAGTGCTGCACAGTGACTGAACACCTCCCTACTCCAYCGACCTCTCTCCAGACTGACCCCTTCCTTCGCCTCTCCTAATCTCACACCTCCAACATCTTCTCTATTCTCAGTGTAGACCTAGTTTTTGATCACTGAGAACACAGAAAAAATCTTAGGGAACTTCCACAAGCTCCCACCACATCACCCATCCAGCCAGCATGCCCATGTTCTTATTAGGCCAACCCTTTAGGTGAGTTGAGTCCTCTCCCCCTTGCCTGTCAAGGCAGCACTTTAAGCAACTGTCCCCTCTCCTGCATCATTAGCTCTTCCCTTCTACTACACCAATTACAACCTCCCCTATCTTATCACGCTCTCCTCTCCACTGGCCCTTCAATGCACACTGCATTTCCCAGGAACTCTGGTCCTCTCTTGCACCCTCTCCCCAGCTCCTTTACCACAATGACACCCATGTGGCTCAGGCTCATTGCTGATATTCAGCAGCATGTGTCAGTTGCTCCCTGCCCTCTCTTGGCATGCATGTTCTACTTTTCCAGCAGAGACAGCACGCTTTGCTGTTTCTTGATGGCCCTGATCTTGAACTCTGAAGGTTCTGGGCTCTGGGCTTCCTTACTTTCTCTGCTATCTCGCTCAGCCATGTGACTCTAAATACCCGTTAGATGATGATGGCTTCAAGCCTTGTCCAACTGGAGGCTTCTTCTGGGCTCTCTCCCTGTATTACACTGCCGACTCACTCATATAACTACACATACACTTCAACATCTCCCCTGCACACTCAAGACTCACCCATGATACTCAAAGCTCCTGATATCCTCCACAAACCGATCTTCCCAAGRTGTGTGTCCTCTTGATAAACACCATCTAATGAAATCCAGATTTTAGCTGAAGCTACAACCTCGGTGCCACCTACAACTCCTCTTGCTTCCTCACACACTCATCCAACCACCACTAAGCCCTATTGGCTCAAAWGTATCCAGAATTTTACTCTCTCATGGCCTACAATTCTCAGTTCTGCCCTCGCCCCTCCAGCTGGTTTCCCATCCAGAACGATTTTAAACACCTGAGATTACATCTCACCTCTGAAAACTTCCCACTACAAGCCAAAGTCCTCCCTGAGGCCACAGGGTCCCACATGATCAAACTGCCTCCACCACAACTCCTTCTTTCTCTTTCCTTCACTTGGCCCTGGGCACACGAGGCTCCTTGCTGGTCCTGACGTTTCCACTACCTGGACGTTCTTCAAGCTACCAAGGTGTCTCACTCCTTAACCTGCTTCGCCCCTCCACTCTCCATCTCCCTGTCGTAACTTTTCTCCGTGGTTACATATCACCAGCTGGTACGTGATCTTCCTCATCTCTCTCTTCTCCCTAGAACTTAGTTCACCAGATCGAGGTTGGTCTGTTTTGTTAACTGCTGTTTCAGCAGTTTCGACACACACGAAGAACACGGTACGTTTTTTAAAATGAATGGATGGATGACGGAAGGAAATGCAATGCATGCTTATGATAGAAGCGCCGAAGAGCCTCAACAGGGGTTCTTAAAGCTCCAATCCGCAAACACTGGGCAAGAAAGGCTGGAGCCCAGACCCAGCGCGTCCTCCGCTCGCCCGCGCCCGCCCGCCAAGCCTTCCGMAAACCCACGTGGAGAGGCCAGCGCACGGGGAGCGGATCTCCAGCGCGGCCCAGATCACAGGCACCCAGAAGCAGCCCCGCGCGTTTACCTGTGCCCACCTGCGCCCACCTGCACGCGCCCTGCTGCACCGCCAATGCCAGCTTCCGGCCGGCCCCGCGCCTCAGGTACACGCCTGTCCCGCCTTCAGCGACTCGGCGCTCCCCATTGGGTAAAGCCTGCCTCGGTCTTCTGGCCGACCAATGACAAGCGGCGGCCTCACGGGGGCGGTGCCTCTCCCGGGCGCGGAATGGTGGCGTAATCTCGCTGAGCCTTAGTTGCTGCCGGAGCGCGAGTTGCCATGGCAACTCGCCCTCTCGCCGACACGTGCAGGCTCGAGGGTGCCGCTCTCTGTTCAGAGTTGGAGCTGGTGAGCTAACTGTGGGCATCCAGATTTTTGCTGATTTCTTAAAGCTCGAGTGCAGAAGTACAGGTGTTAAAAAGTAAAAACAAAGAATAGGGAATGCTGCCATGATWCCGTGTACCATCTTCAAACGCAACAAGTTAGGCATTGCGCACGGATGTGCGCAAATGTGCCGAGAATTAGAGCGGAGGCCACCACAAGCGGGATGGGCGTGGAGTGCGTTCCACTTCACTGCGTGCAGATAGACGCAGACCTACAGGGAGTAGATACAAAATAGGTTAGAACAAATAAAAGGAATAGGTCAGTAATCCCAGGGATTTAGGAGACGGAGGCAGGAACGTGCCAAGTTCCAGGCCAGCCTCAGTAACTTATCAAGACTTTGTCTCAAAATAAAGCGGGCTGGGGGTGTAGCTCAGTGGTAGAGCACCCCTGGGTTCAATCCTTAGTTGCCCACCCTCCACTAAAAAAAAAAGAAGTGAAAGGAAGGACACGGAAACATAATTTTAATCTGAAGTTCCAAGTACTTTTTCAGTCCCGTCACTCCCCAAATTACTTCTTCTTCTAGATCTATCACTCCCAAATTTTGGGAAATCTGTAAATCTTAAAGAGTTACTGGAAATTCACCCAGTTGTGAAAATTACCTTGGACACTGTTCATTAGTTCACATAATGACTAGAATAAGCAAAGAAGAGATACAACATTTTAAGAAACCTATAATTTAGGGGATTATCAACATTATCTACTGATGGGATAATGAGACCATGTGAACGACCAGACACCATAAACCACCTGTGATCATCAGAATGATGTCATCCTTATCTTCCCACCCCCACCCCTCACCAAGTTTCTTTGAACCCCAAAAGTGTCTCTGTCTCTTGAAAGGGTCCACATTCTCCCTTGAATGCATCTTTACTTTTTAAAATAAATCTCAGTTGGGAAGAAGCTATAGCAATGAGCAGTGAAATACAGAGAAAGAGAAGAGAGGGGTGGGGAGAGAGAGAAAGAAAGAGAGAGCTCTCTGGCTTAAGCCTCATTTTGCTTTTACTTTCACCTCACTTTCACTTATAATAATAATAAATCTTGCATGACTTTTGGTGTCTGGTTTTAAATTTTCTTTTATAGGAAAACAAGAACCAAGATTTAGAGTTTCAGCTCCTTGCTTTCCTGTGACATCTGTGTCTTTGATGCATGCTGAAATTCTTTCCTATCACCTATGTCAAGAACTCCACTCCTGGGGCTGGGGCTGTTGCTCARTAGTAAAGCGCTTGCCTTGCATATGTGAGGCACTGGGTTGGATTCTCAGCATCACATAAAAATAAATAAAGACACTGTGTGTTTATCTACAACTAAATAAATATTTTTTGAGAGAGAGAGAATTTTTTAATATTTATTTTTTAGTTTTCGGTGAACACAACATCTTTATTTTATTTTTATCGAACCCAGCGCCCCGCAGATGCCAGGTGAGCGCGCTACAGCTTGAGCCACATCCCCAGCCCTAAATATTAAAAAAAAAAAAAAAAAACTCCACTCATCCTAAGTTTAGGCCCCCCCCTCTGGGAATTCCTGGGACCTCTTCTGGTGACAGACACCTGGTGTACCAAGTTTCAGCTTTTAGAAATAATAAGCTAGGGCTGGGGATGTGGCTCAAGCGGTAGCGCACTCACCTGGCATGCGTGCGGCCCGGGTTCGATCCTCAACACCACATACCAACAAAGATGTTGTGTCTGTCGAGAACTAGAAAATAAATGTTGGAAAATTCTCTCTCTCTCTCTCTCTCTCTCTCTCTCTCTCTCTCTCTCCTCTCTCACTCTCTCTCTCCTCTCTCACTCTCTCTTTAAAAAAAATAAAAAATAAAAAAAATAAAACTACCCCCCCAAAAAAATTAAAAAAAAATAGAAATAATAAGCTAGATGCTTTTGCCATGGGAGGAGAGGGTGATAGCTTGTCAGCCAACTTTTAAGATGAGCTTAGAGGGATGTAATATGTACCAGAAGAAAGGTGGAATCCAGGGGACTTGGGGTGCTAGCACAAGTTAGTGCTCTCTGGTGTCACTTGCTTTGCTGATTAGCTTATGAGTAAATTATAATAAATACCTGGTTTTGTCTCCCTTGTGTGCATATAGGAGAGTGTCTACAAGGCACATATTCAGACTTGCCGAACCACGGGAATCAGCAGGTTGGAGATTCAGTTTTCAAACAGCTCCAACTGGCTCCCAAGAGTGATTGCACTACTCCACCGAAAGAAAACACTCAMCCATACAAGTAATATGTAATAAAATATGAGTATATGAGAACACAGTTGGTTTTGCTTATTTAGCACTGGGAATGTATGGGTAGGCAATGCATTTCAACTTTTCACTGAGCACAGTTAAAARCTGATCCAAATATAGCCATTTTTTTAAAAAGATTCTGGGACAGGGATATAGCTTAGTGGAACAGCACAGAAAAAAAAAAAAGATTCTGGTTTCATTCCCATATGGGACAACAATAAAAAAAAGAAAGAAAGAAATTCTGTTTTATAGCATCTGAGCGCTAATTGAGCAGTAAAATATTATGAGGCTAATAAACAAAAGAAAAAAGAATCCCAAAGCAGTTAGCCTGACATTTAGGGCAATTTTCACTTAGGGTACAGCYGGTTCTGGAAAAGACAGCAGAAAGCCTGGATATCTGAGCAGGAATTCTAACAGCTTTGTGGGCTGAGGGCCCAAAGTTCAATGCCCCATCTTCAGAYTGAGAGCCAGGAAAGCTACACGGTGAGAGTGACTGTGAACTAGAAGTAAACCGACCTCACGGGTCCTCCAGAAATCCACTTCAAATTCACCTCAGTGTTGAAACTGCATTGGTAGGATTCAGGAATCATTGCCACTAGACGGTTGAGGGAAGAAATGGTGAATTCTAGAAGACAGTCTCTTGGGCCCCAAATTATATTTGCTTATATATTCTGTCTAGCTCCATAGAAAATAGCTATCTGTGCAAGAAGATATATATATATTTCACGATAGAAAGCCAAGAAAAACTATGTACAGTAGACTGCTGATCTACTCATCTGGCAGTATAATGTCAGTATAATGTCATAGATCATGATAGCTCCAGTCATGTGTTAAGGTGACGTCCAGTGGTCAGTATTGTAGGGAGGCACATGGAGCATCCTCAGTGGTTTGGGATCTTCTGCAGGAGAAGGTTTGGCTTTACTCCAGAACTCAGGGGACTGTTCTGTGACTCTTATTGGGGTTTGCCAAAGATTCCACAGTCTTATCCCCCACATACCTCTCTGGCATCTTGGATCTTCCAAGTTATATAGTCCAAGTGCGAGATAGTTGATACTATTTTTTTTTTATAATTTTTTTAAATTTTTTTTTTATATTTATTTTTTAGTTTTCGGCGGACACAACATCTTTGTTGGTATGTGGTGCTGAGGATCCAACCCGGGCCGCACGCATGCCAGGCGAGAGCGCTACCGATTGAGCTACATCCCCAGCCCGATAGTTGATACTATAAACCCCACCTGCTACAGAGCCTTCTCTTACCAGGAGACCCAGTCAAAACTCAAAATCAGACTTCCAATTACTCAATACATGAGTTGTGGCCATATTAAATATGATATAAGCAGCCTCCAAAATCTAAAGGGTCCGGGCTGGGACTGTGGCTCAGTAGAGTGGTTGCCTAACATGAGGGAGGCACTGGGTTCAATTCTCAGCGCCACATAAAAATAAATAAATAACTAAACGTACTGTGTCCATATACATCTAAAAAACTTTCAAAAAAATCCAAAGGGTCCAAGGAAAGGCAGGACTCTTAGTGTTGGAAGATCATATTTATATTCTATTTCTGCATAACAAATGAACCCAAAATTTAGCAGCTTAAAAGAACACTCATTTTTCTCAGTCTCTTGGGTCAGGAGCATGGGCATGGCTTAGCTGTGTGCTTCTGCCTCTTGGCTTGTGGTACCCCAAACTGAATAGGGTATCTGTCARGCTGTGCTTTCATCTGAAGGATTGTCTGGGACCATCCCCTCCCAAGTTCACTCAAGTGAATACTGGAAAGAGTCATTCCTCAAAGGTCACACCCCTGTGGCAGTTGGCCTCCCTCRGTTCCTTGCTATGTGGCTTCTTCACCAGGCAGTTGAGGACATGACGGTTGGCTTCGTCCAGAGACAGTAAGAAAGAGGGACACAAAGATGCGTGGACTGCCTCTTGGAAAACTAATCTCAGAAGTGACTTCCCATGGCTTCTGCCATATTCTGTCCATGACGTCATCTTACACTCAGAGAGGGGATTCCCTAGGAGCAGGAAAACCAGGAGGTGGGCATCACCAGGGGCCATATGAGAGCCTGCTGGATCCTGGTGGAAGTGTGATCACTTGGTCCTGGGACATATGGGGGATATTCCAGATCTCTGAAACTTCACTCCTACTTCCAACCCCTGGAGCTCAGGGCTTCTTATCTTCCTCCCCTGGACATGAGTGTCCTACCTATGCACCCAGAGTACTTGCCACCTGCTCATCACCAGGTCTGTTGAGCACGATGTCATCTATACTGTGGATCATTTAAACTCTGTGATGGGGAGCAGGAGAGTTGACACAGCCCCTAGACATGGCAGCAGACGCGATCCCCTGTGCCTCCCACTTGGGTGCAAATGGTTTTTTGTTCTAGGAACAGATCAATAATCACAAAACTGTGCTGATCTGTTGGAGCAGATGTCACCAGCACCACAGCTGCAATGAGAGGACTTGAAACAACAGCACTCACCTCAGCCACGTGATCCT